GTGTGTGTGTGTGTGTGTGTGTGTGTGTGTGTGAGAGAGAGAGAGAGAGAGAGAGAGAGAGAGAGAGAGAGAGAGAAAATAAATTTTTGATAGAAGGATTTTATAGCTGTAAATGATGTGAGGGACTTTGAACTTTAAGTCTGTCTTCTTATATGTGGCCTATCTGTTCAGATATAAATATTTCCACAATGTTAGCCTGACTTAGTATATATTTTCATTATAATTTGGAAAAAACAACAGAAATCAAATTCTTATTTTTTTTCCTTTTCAGGATGCAAAGATTGATCCAGAAGAATTTACAGGCCGCCTTCAGTCAGAGCTCAAATCATCTCCACAACCATATCTGGTACCTTTCCTTAAGGTAAAACAGATACTATTTAGATGCTAAACTTATCTACAGAGCAAACTTTGCTACTTTAGTTTCAGAAATCTTAGAATATACAAACTAACAATATGGCATTAGCTTCTACTGCTCAGAACATGTCATTGGTCAAAATTACAAAATTATTATGAACTCTAATTTAGAAATGTAGGTATTAGATATGATTGGTAGGTATTTTACTGTACACACAAAGCTGTCACAGCTTTCATATTTACCCTTCCCCAACTTGTAACCTGTTAGATTGTTAGGGTATAATTCTCCCCATATTTACCTCCCATCTCCTTTTCCTTGCTTCTTTATCATCTCTTTTTTCCACATCTAAGATGCCATTAATTCTTTCTTTTTACTTTCCTGCATTCCCCCTTCTGCCAAATCTAGCATAAAATATATAAGTTTAAATTTCTTTGCTGTCTTCGAAATTATTTAATTATGTAATAAGTTAACTTTTAAAATAATAATATAAGTTTAAAAGTGTGATTTTGGTTTACTTAGATTTAATACTCTAAAAGCTTGGAGCACTACTTAAAAAATACGCTCTTTTAGAACTCTAATTTTTGGATGACCTGGTCTGAACATGAAGCACCTAATAGTGCTGCCTTCTAACCCTACCAAAATACAGTTGGATCAGTAATAGTTTGGAACCATACTACTCTAATGCACCAACAATTGCATCTAGCTCTGGATATTAGAGGCATATGGGGAGAAGTAACTTACTGCAGCCTTTGAAAAGTACAGCTTACTTCTGACAGCATGTATTGGGAGTGGAACTTATCCCTGCTGTTCTTTCTTTCCACCCATTTTTTTGTTCTTCATAGGACCAGCAGCCCAGTTCCAGGTCATCCTAATGTTGTAATGGTATACTCCCTTGTGTTGTGGCAGTAGGGCAGATCACAATCTGGTCCACAGTGGTGACCAAATTCAGTGTAAATAATAGGTATGAAATGCAAGCTGAATTTTCCTACTTACAAAATATAAAGATGTCAAAATGTACAATTTAATTTATTCTGAAACAGTATATAGCTTGTAGAACCAAGTTTAATAATTGAGATTTTCTAATGCGTGCTAATGCATTTTGAAGCAGAATTTTTTGATGGTTAAATAAAGATGTGATTGTTTCCTTTCTACTTCTTGTTTTTTGATTTTTTTTTTCCTTTTTAGAAAAGTCTACCTGCATTGAGACAATCTTTACTGAACAGTCAGCATTCAGTTTTGCAAGGACAGCCGTCTCAGCAGCCACTTCAACAAACCAAGCTATCACAAATTATACCTCAGTCTGCCTCTGGAAGCATTTCCTCTGTTGTTGCAACACAGGCAATAGGAATAAGGCAACCAAACAACATTTGCACAGTCTCTGTGTCAAATACAATGCAGCCTCCTCAGGTTAAGGTGGTACAGTCAAATCAGAGTTCTCAACTGGTAGGTACTACAAGGAGAACTTTTAAGAAAAATAGTGGTTTTAGGTTTACTTTTTATTTCTTTATATTTAATTGGGAAATACTTCCATTCTTCCATGTTTCTATATTGTGCCTTTTTGATGCTATTTCTTAGGTCACATATTTGCAAAAATTTAGCATGCTGCCTTTGTGCACTGTGAGTAGTCCTATTAATTTAAATGAAACAGCTGATCCTATGGAAAGCTGAAGATATATGTGTGAGTCTTTGTTGGAGCAGGGTCTCTGTTTCTGGGATGATGTTATATGATTAAGTTTCATATAACATTCTCTCATATATGACATCATAGAGTTTTTTATATAATAATTACAGCATTTAACAAAGAGCTTTTAAAACATGAAGGAATTTTAATATGATTATACTATCCTTGTTAAATTATACTACTTTGATTAGATTTTAATTTGAATTAAAATTAGATATTCTGTTTTCTTAAAGTCTTGTATACATTATTAATTAGAAAATCAGAAGAAAAAAATCTATGGTAGCAACCAGCTTGGTCTAGCAGCTATACCATTTCTTTTATTTGCTAAATTTTGCCCTAATTATGCCACACTTCCATGAATTAACTAGTACCTTGCTCTCTGAATAACCCCACTGATTTCAGTGGGACTACTTAGGTAGATACTGAGATACTTGACCTTGGCTTTTATAATACACAAGATATATGTGGATGTGATCTTGCACCTGGACTTGGCTGCTCTTGTCCTCTCTGTCCAGCCATGTGAATTCCTTCTTCTTTCATAAGGAAAAACTTATTCTGGGATATTATTTTATTTAGAACAAGAAAGGTACCAAAATATCCTTAGAGCTCACTTGCTCTGATGCTTGTAAAGTTTATGGCTGTTTTGGAAATGAAATTCCCCAAATGGAATAAGACAAAATCAAAATCCTGCCATCTCCCTTCATTCATCTGTTTACAGCTTTTCCTGCAGTGGTGCAAGCACACATGTATGGAGAGTGGCACTATGAATATGTGCTTGGTAATCTGTTAACTTATTCTATATGTACAACTTCAGAAATACCAGAAGTGACAGTTTAAAAAGTAACGTATTTTAGATTTGGTCAGATGTTTGTTTCTCCAATGAAAAGGTGTTATATTTAAGGGTTTGTTTGAAGCTGAAAAGGCTAAATGAAATTTCTGCTGTAGTTTCACAATGCAGCAGGTTGTCTACCATATAACTTGGTTGAAAAATGTGTTTAAAGACTGTTACATGAAGGAAATGTATATAAACAATTATAGAACAAAATTATATAAAAAAAAATTCTCACAGGAAGAGGAAGTGCTGTGTTGTTTTTATTTATTGATGGTATGACTGATTAATAGATCCAAAATTAAGGTTAACCAAAGCCCTGTTACATCCCCCAGGATTGTATTGTAAGTCAACAGTCAGCATCTGATAACAGTTATCACATAGTGTTATTAAAAAATACCATAAACTTGCATGTTCTTGTGGTAAATGCTGTGGCATCTTAGACATCATTAGGTTTGTCTACACATGCAATTAATGCAAAGCAATAAACTCCAGAGCTTAATGCCCCAGAGATTATTGCTCCTGGGCGCACCTTTTGAACGTGAGCCTAGGACCGCAGCACCCTGAGCTGGGGCAGAGTAGCTTCAGCTGGCAGAGGGGCATGGTGGTTAACCTGTCATGCTCTCCCCCCTGGCCTCAACATGCTGTGGAGGGGCCAGCTGGGGGATGAGGGTGCTCTAGTGCCGGGCTAGCCTGTAGGCAGCCCCCATGTTGAAGCACTCATGCCCCAGTGACCTCATCAGTGTCTGTACGTACATTGATGCAGAATAAAAAGCTCTATGGCTTTTGTATATACAAGTACTATCCTGCTGCAGAGTTAATTAGTTCACTCCAGCCTAATTGGCCTGCAAGTATAGATGCCGAGACATTTACTGTGGAGCTAATTATTCAACTTTGCAATAAATCTCTTGTATAGACAGGCCCACCGTGTGGTAACTGTTCATAAATATTGACTTTTTCGTGGTGACCACTGTGTGCTGTGCACACATAACAATATCTAGTTTTCCCAAATCTAGAGCACAGGAAAGAGCTACTGTCCAGCAGAAAAAGATTACAGCTGGCTTGCCTAGGGGTAGTCAGCACTGACGGAGAAATCTGGCAGGGCTCCAGAATCTCCAACCCTGACGCTCACTGAAGAGAATTCCAGCTGGCTTTGCAGACTGTCCGGTTTTAAAGAGGCAAGGCCACTTGGAGTATAGCCCCTTTAAGCCAGCCTATCTACAGGGGCATTTAGGTTTTTCTAAAATGGGACAAACTAGTCAGTTGATTTTTCTGATTTTACAAAGGATTCAGTATTTGACACATCTTCTGAAGACTTTGGCCAATCAGAGATGTAATGGGTGTTAATTTGATCATGTAGCTATTCAGGTCCAACCCCAGGCTTAATATTGCATCTCTTCGTTTACAGTGTAGACTTTTCAGAAGTTCTGCATTAGCTAAAGGCTTCTCCTGTAAAAGTTGATGGTAAAACTGTCAGGTTCAGCAGCAGCTGGGTTTGGCCTATGCCCACTGCTTTGGAAAACCTGCCTCAGAAACCCTTCTTGTTTGCTTCTTTATAGTAGCTCATAAATTTCCCCTCAAGTTGCACTCATACCAGAGTCATAGAACGCTAATTTTACTGTTTTCTAAATTAAAAAAAACAGCAAACAGTGGTTGCTGTGAAACTGAAGTGAGATTGGTATCATTTTGATGGCAGAGAATTTGTATTTATCTTTGACCATGCAGAATTGTGGTACATGATTGGAAATGTCAGTAGGAGGCAGGAAGACTAGTTTTATAATTGAATAATTGAATGATGCATCAAAGAGTTTGTAATATTTACTTATTTTATAATGTGTATTAACCACAATGAAAAATATTGTGAAGAGCTAGGTGATGTAGTAGTATCACTGTTAATTACTGCTGGTAATTAAGTTAGATGGAATCTTAGAGTATAGAAGATTTGTCTATATATAGAAAAATTATGAATGAGAAGCTAACTAGATAAGCCAAAAAACAATTTATATGTCTATATATATTTGTCCAAAGTCACACTGTTTAGCATTTTGGAGGAAATTGTGAATTCCTTATGGCAGGAGCTGTGTATTCATGTGTATAGTCATTACCTATTTTTTTTTATGAGTATCACAAGTAAATTGTAATAGAACTGTGAATCAAACAAAGTTGGCAGTTTTCTTGTTTGTTAAATCTGTTGCAGTTGTACATAGTAAGTGTAGCATTGATAATCCAGATGTATTAGATGTTGTATTACGCATTATGTTCTGATTTAAGAATGAGCAATCTGTCCCATCAAAATATGTTTGTATGACTTTTTTTTCCTGTGGCACAAATCTGGCAATCAAATTCATTTTTCTCCTCTGGATTTGGTTAATCTAGAGCATAAGCACATTCCTCATATTTATCTCTTGCATTAATTTGACCTTCCCTGTGAAGCTCATAAGAGAGGATGATAAGGTGAGATATTGCAATATGAGAAGAAAGTGTAGTTGGGAATGTTGCTGGTTCTGAGATTTGACAGCAAACCTGAATAATTGTAATAGGAATGTTAGCTTTAAAAGTACTGTATTTACTCAATTACAAGACTAGATTTTTTTCCCCCAGTTGGCATGGGGAAAAAAGCCCCCATGTCTTATAATCACAAACAATTAAATCTCACTAAATACATTGTCTAGCATTAAGTTGCTGCCAAAAGTAGCATGTGCTCAGCAATGGAAACCAACTATCATCCCGTTTTTATTAAGAAACTGGGAGGCTGTG